TTGGTGGGGGGGGGAGGGGGGGTGGCCAACGCTGCACCATATATATATATATTATATGAACTATACATAATTATAGAAATGTATTAGAGACAGTTAGACAAAGACACAACTCAAGTACCGGTACTTGCTGGGTCAGAGGTTCATCGGGACTACAACCCCTTTTTTGTTGCGGGAGCCATGAATTTGAACTGGTTACCCTCCAGCAAAAAAACATAGATGTAGAAAACCCGCCATGTGTACACCATCTTCCCAGGGAAACCCCATTGGTTTCCACATCTATGTTGGTACCCTGGGGTAGTCATACAATTTCACCAATATTTCACGGCTTTTTTAGAACTACCCTCTGGTAAACGTTTACATAGCGAACTGGAAAATCACCGTTTGGAACAGGTAGATCAACTATTTCTATGGCCATGTTCAAGTTCGCAAACTGTTAAATTACTAGAGGGTATCGGGTATCATCTGGTTAGTTCTACGGTTGGTTAGTTCTATGGTTTCTATGGTTAGTTCTATGGTTAATCGGGTTGCCCTCTGGCAATTTAACACCATTGACCATGGAACTAACTATAGAAACTTCAGAGGGGACTCAGCTGACGGTCTTTGCATGTTTGCTTCATGTCAGCGGGCAGGAGCCATCTTGGGTGGCACTGTCCATGTTTTTTCGAGGTGCCCAAAAACGACCTAGGTACAGTACCCTCTGGTAAACTAACATAACTATGGAAAATCACCATTTTTAATGGGAAAATCCACTATAAATGGCCATTTTCAATAGCTATGTTAGTTTACCGGAGGGTATCGACCAAGTTAAAACTGGGAGGCACCACCTTGCAGCTAATTGAGTTCGTCTACAATATACCCCATCAAAAAGGTTCGGTTGCACCAGACTACCCTTCACAAGTCTGTTTCCCCAATACACCCATATCAAGTCTCTTGCATCTTCCATTATATCCCAATATATCCAATTATAGTCGTATAAAAACACCATGGAATTACTATTGCAAAACATAACATAGCGATGAAACAGCCATGCAAATTGCTTGTATATCCCAAATTCTACCTCAACCAATTTGGGATAAATTTACCAATGAAATCCCTATAAAATAAAAACCCTATAACATCCCTACATTTCATTGGACCTATTCATAGAATTTTGTAATTTATATATGTCCAATATTGTCCAATGAAATCCCTCGAAAATTGCCACAGAAAAAAAAAAAACTGCCGTTTTGGAAGCACCCGAAACTCGCCAACACACGAGTCCCCCGATCCGCCGATCCGCCAATCCGCCGCGGCACCCGCGGATCTGATCCGGAAGGCCCGGGAGCGGAGTTTCATCGGGGGTATAGACCATGGTATACATCTCCAGCAGCGGAGTGGAGGCATGGCTGGTGGCATGTTCACCTGAAACCCTGCCCGCTGGTGGCAAGGTGGGCCATTGAAAATCATCATTTTTCACAGGTAAATCATCTATAAAGGGTCATGTTCAATAGCTATGCGAATTTACTGGAGGATAATTCACAACATCTGATGTTCGTCGGCTTCTAAACATATTTCAGGGCCATGTCCAGTGAATTCCATATTTGGGGCACTCAAAAACATATGGTCAGAGCCATGTCCAGTAATTTAACCTGCATTTAATCATGAGATGGGCCGTTGAAGCTAAAACGACTACGCACAAAAGGGTTGCATCTGTTTTTTTTACTATTGCACTATATCCATATCATTATTTCTCATTAAATTATATCTACAATTGGTATCCTCCAAAAAATCCTCTTGTTGCCACGTTTGATGACACCCCTCCGCTTCACCTCCCATTCCAAGCCGAGGCACAAAAGGGTTGCATCTATATATATATATATCATTATATCCACTAGTATCCCATGAATATCCGTCAACAATTCCTGGTTGGTGGTATACCTACCCCTCTGAAAAATGATGGAGTTCGTCAGTTGGGATGATGACATTCCCAACTGAATGGAAAAAATCCATTAAAATCCTTTTAAAAAAAAAAAACATTAAACCACTATAATCCATTATTGCCAAGTGTTTCTGGAAAGTCATCAAATTCCCAGTCAGTCCAGTCACCATCAAAATCCATGGTTCCAGTCACCACCAATCAGCTACAATGTGCCCCCCCCCCAGTTATAAGTTGGTTTAGATTCGCCCCAGTAACTAGTTCGTTATTTGCGTACCATAAACCAGTTCGTGAAATTGGAGTTATGTGAACACCAACTGAACGCTATCCAACGGGGGCCTCACATTGTATGTTAGTAAGTGGATTATAACCCCAGTTATAAGTGAACCTTGCCCCTACTTAGCCCAGTTATAACCAGGGGTTTTTCACCTACTTACGATTCGTGGGGGTGAACCACCAAGTATGAAAATCGTTCCCATTTGCCGAGGCGCAGAAGGGTTCGTATTCCAAGTTGGTGATGGTCTCGCGGAGCACCGCATCCCTCCGCTGGAACTCCTCCGCCTTGATGCAACTGGGACGGACCCAGCGGTCGCAGAAGATCTGCTGAAGATCCAAGGGGGCCGGCTCCTCCAGAACCGAAACAAAAATGGCTGACATGGCCATGGGCAACGTTTTACGGGGATAAAATGGGAATAGTACATAATATATATATATATAATCTGTATATAAATATTTATCTATATATATATATGTGATGCGATATATTCTGTAGAATATATTAATTATGTGTATGTTTAACAGAGTTTTAACATCAACCAACTTAATATGATCAAATGGGTCGGGGTCATCTTTCTGTCAATGAGAATTCTCTTAGCCATCATGCGACCGTCATCAAATATAGGTCATATGGGTATATAATCCACAATTTTGACCATGGCACAAGTGATCGTGCTTGTTTCACAACAAGAAATTCGCCAAAAAGGTCTTCTCCTGATTGCAATTTCCGCATCATGCAGTTATGGCCAGGAATCCCCACTTTTGGAACGATAACCCCAATCATAACCGTAAAAACGACAGGTTTCTAGGGCTTTAAGTGTGCCGCTGTCGAACTGCTTCAGTCTAGATGATTGCATTCTCACCCCTGGATTATGACTCCTGCAACTGGTTGGTTATATATCACCATAATTGGTTTTCTTGGCCAGTTGGAACTGTGAAAAGGGCTATACCTGTAGCTTGTCCACATCTATAGTTAATATCCTATGAGTATCCCATTAGTGTCCCAATTACTTATCCCATAGAACTTCACTGTGAAAACCATATAAACCATAGATATATCATATATCCCATAAAAAATCACTTATTCATTGTCCCAATTACTTATCCCTATTCAACATGAATCCATAGAAGTCACCATCGAAGTCACTGTGACCCCTTGTGACCCCCTGACGCAACTGTGAGTCCTTCAGAAGTGGGGACAAGTGATGCCCAAATTCGCCGTTCTCTTCTTCCAGGAGTTGCAGCAACTGTGGCAGCACAGCGATGGAAACGCCTAGCGGATGCAGCCACAGAAGATGCCCTTTTGGCTTTTGGGAACATGGAGCGTTTGAAGCCATGAAAAAATAGGGAAAATGGGGGGTTCAGCCAATACCAAAATAGGGATTTTTTGCCATGAAACATAGGGAACATGGAGACATGGAGCGTAGGGAAAATGGAGCTTTAACGCAGAAAAAAACGGGGATTTTGGTTCCTGCTTTTGGATAATTAGTTACCAGATGTTACCAGGTACCATGGGTATACAATGCTCTTTTTACATGCTTGGATCACCGGGAAGATCAGACTGTCCTCGTAACTGCTTAGGAACTGGGCTTCGAACATGCAACTTATGGGACCCAGGAAACGGGGACGACTTAACTCACACCAGGGCTGACCGACTTAAGACAAGTAGGATGATCCTCCAAGTACAGTCGGACATGATCATTGGCCAATTTCGACAGTTTCTTCTCAGTTTCTACACATGTTTCTGTGACTTCGTTGATGTTCAGCAATTCTTTCTGTTCGTAGACCCAGAGGGTCTAAGCTCTTGAAACAACTGGCCGAGATGTGCACATCAAGGCAGTGTTCTGCCCTCCGAGGCTGTGGTAACCTGAATAACACCACTTAAAACCCATTCCCAGAGACTGCTGATGACTTGCAAATGCCAGAGATTTCTTGGATACGTGAAATTTCGGAAGGTTCAACTACAACAAGCACATTTTCAAATTGTATCATTGACCACTATTTAGTAATGCCTTAAACTCAAAACATCCCCAATTCTACCAGAAATGGGTAGCGTACACATGTCTAAACCATCCGAACCATTGGGGAGGCTTATTAACATGGGGGTATACGGTATACCTCTATTTTGCTGGGATGGTTCAATTTTTTTCCACCCCCTTTATTTTTATGGCATAAACTGTGGTTGGTGGGATGGAAACAACATGACAATTTCTCATAAAAAGGCCCTTGGTTTACTATTGTGTACCCATACTCGGGATGGTTAATCACAAATTGCTTGACATTGCTTTCTGGCTGGTGGTTGAGCCCTACCCCTCTGAAAAATGATGGAGTGAAAGTCAGTTGGGATGATGACATTCCCAATATGATGGGAAAATCATAAAATTCCATGGTTCCAGTCATATATACACAGTTAATAACAATATTATAAACCATTATTATAACCATATCACTATCATATCATCATTATTTTCCTCATATTTAACCAGATTCATCATGGCACTTGGGGGAATTGATCATGATTCAATCATGATATATATATATATATCATGATCCCACACACCGAGCCCAGGGCGACTTGACCTTAAAAAAGGCCGAGCTTCCGTCCAGGATCTCCAAAGTGGCTGGAGGAATGCCTGGTTTCGTGACGGATCATGTCACCGGAAAATCTGGAAGAATCGATGTTGAAAACTTGGTGAAATATGGGGCTTGGATTTTATTATATAGTATATATCAATATAATGTATATATAGATAGATATTAATGTATATATATATATATTAATGTATATGTGTATATATATATATATTGGGGGGGATGTTGACCTAGAGATACGCAGCAAGTGGGAAGATTCTTAGCAACGCTGGTTAGAGCCCCATTGTACCCATTGTGGGACTTTGGATCGCCAAAGTTCTCTAGCAGATGCACGTCCACTTGCGAAAACTCACGTAGAGCTGAGTAAGGTAGACCAGTGTCTTAATGGAATTTGGGTGGTACGTTTCTTCTCGAAACTTTCACAGAAATCTGAAACATTCTGAAACATTCTGGTCATTTTTGTGTCCATACCATCCATGTGATGGTATATTTCCCAACATTTACTCTGATATTGGCCTAGCTAAAACAAATATACCATGCATGGTATGGTAATCAATCTGGGTAAATTGTAATAGTTCACTAACCTGAATAGTTCGGCCATTTGGGGATGATGTCCCTTATTAGCCATGATTCCAGGGTTCGGGAGAACAGTGAGGTCGTTAAAATTTACCCAGATGTATGGCTTAGGAGTTAGGGATCTCCAAAATCTCACCTACTAGATCTGCATGGTTCCCACCTGAAAGCTCATCTTGGATGTCGTCATGATCCAAAACCTTCATGGAGGGCTCGCAAGAACCTGAGTAAAATGCGGGGTTCTTCAATGGGGATATACATATTTTATGAAAAACTATACATATAATATACAGAGTAATTGGGGGGATACACTAATATACAGTCAACATAAAACTTGGGTATATGTGTGAGTGGTTCCTCTAAGTTTGGGGATCCGAAGTTATCATCAAAATCAGACATCATCGGTCATTTGAGAGGAGGCGAAAACAGTGTTACCCTCTGGTAAACTAACGTGACTATAGAAAACCATCATTTTTTATGGGTAAATCAACTATAAATGGTCATTTTCAATAGCTATGTTAGTTTACCAGAGGGTAACAAGGGGTACTCCAATTTGCAGAACAATCCAAATGGAAAAATAAAAAACGCTAGCAAAAACATGGGAAAAAAACACTTAAAACAGTGGGGATTTAATCTTCAAATATCTGAAAAAATATTCATTTTCCTCTGTCTTACCAGCAAAAACAACAGGACAATATCGGACCAAGGGATTGATTTGGCCTACCAATCAACCCCAACTAATCAAGAAATATTCCGGATTCTCCCTGAAGTTCCGCAGCCTCACAATCACCTTTCATCAGCGGGTTGATCTGGCGGAAACCCAGGTGCCAAAATTTGGGATGGCCGGGATGCCGCTCTACCACAAGAAAAAAAACATAGTGGTTTGTTAACAAATCAAAGTATAATGACATCTCAGAATGTCTACTTATACGTAATATATTTTAATGTCGTTCAATAGAATTGTTTGTATACTTATAACATCTTATAATCAGCACAATATCTGAATATCACATCTGGTTGGTGGCTTGAACCCCTCTGAAAAATATGAGTGAAAGTCAGTTGGGATGATGATATTCCCATATATTACAGTATGGAAAATAAAGTTCATGTTTGAAACCACCAACCACTTTTAAGTATGTTATATAAAGTTATATATATATATGCAGTTGACAACCATATTATTAACCATTACCCATAGGATCCATGTATGGCATATATGCTAACATTTGGGGTATATTGATGGGATCCATGTTACCACATATAGCAGCACCATGGATCCTATGGGTTATTATAAAACCAAATTATTATCATACCATCATTATTAACCATATTAACCATATATTATTAATCATATTAACCATATTAACCGTATTTAACCCAGATATCCCCAACACTTCACCCATCAAAGTCCAACAAAATCGCCGCGACACCCAGGCGGGGCAGGATCCAGCGGACCCAATCGCGGGAGACTTGCAACTCAGCCAGTTGCATCCGGGCCAACTTGTCCAAGACCTGTCCACTGGTCATCTCACATAATGGGGGACATAACTACAATAAGTGGCTGAAAAACCATGGTTTATGGATGTTTATGGTAGATATAAGTATAGTTAATGGGGATCAATAACAACTACCCTCTGGTAATTTTAACATACAATGTGAGGCCCCCGTTCGATAGCTAAGTTGGTGAACATAACTCCAATTTCACTATGGTTTATGGTACTTATAACGAACTAGTTACTGGGGCTTATAAACCAACTTATAACTGGGGGGCCTCACATTGTAGCTATTGAAAATGGCCATTAATAGTTGAGTTTCCCGTTAAAAATAGTGATGTTCCATAGTTATGTAAACGTTTACCAGAGGGTAAATAAATCATATCAATTATCAATCAATCAAGAAAAATATGTTAATTGATAAATATATCGGAGTTTTCTTCCTATTCTTCCAATGCAACAGTTATCAATCAAAAAATATGTCTAACATGTCTAACTACCCATCAATCGGTCAGTCTAGGATCAATCAATCATTCAATCTATCAGCTAGATATCGAAGATACTGAAGCGGACAAAATCTGGGATTTCACCCGCCAAAAATTGGTGTTGCCAAAAGCATTGCGAATTCTGTACCAAGATTGATCAAGTGACTGACTGAATTACTATCATATTCACCAACTTGAAATATGCGCGGATGCGCATGGAATATCTTGGAATCCCGTGAAACATCACAGGATGTTCTCATAAACTCGCCACGACATGACTCAAAAACTGCTGCCACATGACACCAAAATTCCCATCATATCTCGATAAAATGGTGTGGTATCCCCAAATGCTCCATCCCTATGGATCCATGGCCACTGTCTGAGAAGGTACGGCTAACCCTCCGAATTATAGTAAATTATACCCCAGTCCCAATTCCTAAGAAGGTACGACTGGATCCATAGGGGATGTAATTATCGAGTATTCACCAACATTTAGCCGAAAACATGCCAAGTTTGCAGGCAAACAATCCCTTCTCCCTAATATTTTACACCCAGAAACCATGCTTCGAATTTTTTTTACCATGGTTTCTGGGGGGCACCATGGTATAACAAGATTAACCATGGTAAACCATTAATTACCCTCTGGTTATTTAACATAGCCATGGAAAATTGCCCTTTTATACATGGTTTACCTGGTAAAGATGGTGATTTTCCATGGCTATGTTAAATAACCAGATGGTAATTAATCATTATAAACATGTGGGTAGATAATAATACTTCGATAAAGTTCGGCTATTTTGGAATAGTTACATAAACATACATAACATATCATAAAATACATTCACCATCATTCCAGGCTTCGGGAGAACAGTGAGGTCCTTATATTTTTTCCAGATCTATGGTTGATGATGGATGTAATGGTTACATCTAGCTGTTATTTCACTTAAAACATGTGACATCCCATTACATCAAAATTAAATGTCATTAAATCATCATGTTTCACAGTTTATAAAATCTCACTTTTCGTGGTTAAAACATGTTAAAACATGTTAAAACCCAGTGAATCCACATGGGAACCGCATCTTGTCCTCACCTCCTCGTGCTTTTCTTCGCTCAGCGCCATCTTCTTCTGCGAAGCGGGGCTCTCCACGCGCGCGGGCCGGAACTCCTGCCACGGAACTCCAGGGATGAACGGAATCCATGGGGAAGCCATGGAGTGAGCGCCAGAAGATGGATATCAACATGATTTACCAGGCCGGGTATATCCATATGAATCCCATTAATCACTAGAAAATATCCATATGAATCCCATTAATCACTAGAAAAATCTAGAAAATTGATATATAAATCACTATTGATGGATATCATGATATCAACAACTATAAATGGTACCCTCTGGTAAACCAACAGAACTATGGAAAATCACCATGCTATTAATGGGAAAATCCACTATTTCGACTCGGCCATTTTCAAGTTCGCAAACTGTAACAATCACCAGAGGTTAACTCGCAGCAGATATGGCCACACTGATTTCACTAGTGGTAACATCTACTTGTGAAGCGGAACCAAAATATCGGGCCAGTTCACCCAGGTAGCCCGGGTAAACCCCGGTTCTCACCTCAAAAAAAAAGTGAGCAAAGTGAGCAATCGATGTAGGATACTGGAAGAAGTATACCACTGCCAATCTTAGATAGCTTGCAAAAAGATAGCCGGTTTGCAAACACATCCAATCATTGTAAAGGATTGAAGTACTAAAAGTATAATAAACTATACGAAAGATTACTAAAGTAGCTATAGAGTGTTGTGGCTCGACCACTCCTCCATCTGTGGAAAGTCCAACCTGGCTGGAAGGTGTCTGAAAACGGTCTTTACGCATACCCCCCCAATAGCCATGTTAAACTAGAAAACGGTCTGATTCACCAATGGAATATCATGGAATCAGATTTACCCTCTGGCAAACTAACATAACTATGGAAAATCATCATTTTTGATGGGTAAATCCACTATAAATGGCCATTTTCATCCATTTTCAATAGCTATGTTAGTTTACCAGAGGGTAGGGATTCAGAAACGTATGTTTTTCACCAATGGACGGTTTTTCTTCCCCCTTCAGATTCATACCTTAGCAGACCGAAGTGCCACTCACCTTGAAGTCAGATCCCCTTAAAAATTCGACAAAAGACAAAAGAATTCTGGCTCTCCATATGTTTCAGACACCACATTTATATCAACATATGTATATATATATATATAATGTATATATAATTACGTATATATATATATACATATTTGACACTGAAGCCCTTCAAACTTTTGAGCACGTTTCAACATCCCCGTGGCTTGATGACATTGGAATCCCGTTCTTCGATGCTATTCACCAGGCACTATAATTGCAACCACATTTCGAGCATCTATAAGACACAACCATATGATGGAAATGATGGGTATGTGGGGTAAAAAACCAGCCATACTTGGGGATATTGTTACTTTTTATTAATGGTACCCTCTGGTTATTTAACATAGCCATGGAAAATGGCCCATTTATAGATGGTTTACCTATTTAAAATGGGTGGATTTTCCATGGCTACGTTAGTCATAACCAGATGGTATATAGTCTGGTTGGTGGCTTGGAACCATGGAATTTTATGACTTTGCATATATTGGGGATATATTATTTTAGTATATTTTTAGACTGGAAAATTCAATCCCAGCCCATGGAATTTTCCAAGTCCAGTTGCTTCTGGATTCGATGAATCCACCCGCTGTTCAAGATCTCCAACTGCACCGCTGTCCACGCCACGCGCGGCTCCGCCACGTTACCGTGACCGGCGGAGGGCAGCAGGTTGCGCAGCACGCAGCGTTGAATGGAGCGGCTCTGTAGGGTTTCCACCAACTGCTCTTGGAAGAAGAGATCTGCCAAATGAACCTGCAACTTGAAGACTTGGGCTCCAACAGATATGGCGATTTCATAAAATAATATAAAATCATATAAAATCCGCCCGCACCGAAGGTGCTGGGGCGTGATCTTCCGGATGGCACTCGTAAAAGGTTACAGGTTTAATGAGGGTCGATAACAGCGGCTGGTTGGGTTTGTTTGGAAGGTACCCTGGGAATCGAGGGCATCAAGCTGAAAGAAGTGGAGCAGGCAGAAGAAAAGAAGAAACAAGGTGAGCGGGTCAGAAATCCGAAAGCCATAGTGGACGTAATACGAAGATGACGCAAGTAGTGATGGATGTCTAGGAAACCGTTTCCCCTAGTCCTCCTCCGGGCTTTGGGGGGGGGGGGCATTTTTCGGCCAAAACCTCCTGTTTTTGATAGGTCGTGACGCTCGCCTTCAAAAAACACTGTAAAAAAAGTATGGAAGACACCTGTTCGTGAACGCGCCCGTCCAAAATCGGCAAGCGAAAAGTGAAAAAAACCCGTGTTTTTTAAACTAATATATCTCCCTAGTGAACCCAATCGTTCACCAAGCTACTCAATCTAGCTATCCTTTGGGGGCCTCACTAGCCCCAGTTACACCCTCTGGCAATCAAACGCAGCAATGGGAAATACCCCATGAGCGGAGGTTTTAATGGGACAACTATCTACAAATGGGGGATTTTCCATTGCCATGTTTGACTACCGGGTAATAAGTAGGGTAAGTAGACATAGTCTGTCATATTTGGGGTAACCCACTTGGGACTTGCGATGGGGTGAACCACAAGTACAAGGTTCTTCAGGGTGCTTGCCTTGTTTTCCGGGAGGGCTATGGCCACATGAACTGACTAAGTGAGAAGATTCGTGGTTCCATGGGATAGATCCCCACTCAATGATAATCAACTCCTTTGGGGAATCCTGGTCCAAACAACCAGGTGATAATTTCGTGAAGCAGTATACAGTGTACTCTATTAATCTCGATTATCATACTTGATTGTGCCATATATCATACTAGATTATAATACATATATTTGCTGGTTGGTGGTTTCAAACATTTTTTATTTTCCATAATATATGGGATAATCCTTCCTATATATTGACTAATATTTTTCAGAGGGGTTGAAACCACCAACCAGTTTGCCATGGTCAAAACATGGTTTATTTTGGATAAATGGGGATGGTCATGCCCGAATTGATTGGGGTTGATGTGCCAATGAGAAGGAATCCCCCATGATGGTGGGATGACCACATACAATATGATTGGCCTTGGCACGTTATATATACATATATATATATATGTATATATATATATACTATATACATGTATATGTGTATATATGTATATACATATGTATATATATACACATACATACTGTGTATATATATATACATACACATGTATATACACACATATGTATACATGTATACTTGTATATAGTGTATATATATATATACACTGTGTATATACAGTAGCTATTATGTACAATATCTATCAATGGATCACCAGTACATCTGATCAAGTCATCCCCCCATTAATATCCCATTGATATCCTATAGATTTATCATCCTATGAAATATTCCATATAGACAGACAGAGATACCAAAATACACCGATACATTAAAAATAGAAACCCTCAAACAAAAACACGATGCAGCCCACGAACCCGAATGCTCACACGTATGTTAATTGTACAGATGTCGAAACACATGGATAGGCAGGCACCCAGAACACTTTTCTGCAATAGTTTATGTGAACAGTCTTGTACATATTTTCCATATTACCAGTCTACAGTGTGGAGTGGAAAGTGTAGGATGTGGAGTGTGGAGTGGAAAGTGTAGAGTCTAGAGTGTGGAGTGTGGAGTGTAAAGTGTAAATTGTGGAGTGTAAAGTGTGGAGTGGGGTGTAGAGTGTGTAAAGTAAAGTGTAGAGTGTGGAGTGTGGAGTGTAGAGTGTAAAGTGTAGAGTGTAAAGTGTAGAGTGTAAAGTGTAGAGTGTAAAGTGTAGAGTGTGGTGGAGTGTGGAGTGTAAAGTGTAGAGTGTGGAGTGTAGAGTGTGGAGTGTGGAGTGTAGAGTGTGGAGTGTGGAGAGAGGAGTGTAAAGTGTGGAGTGAGGAGTGAGGAGTGCACAGTGTAAAGTGTAAAGTGTGGAGTGCATAGTCTAGAGTGTAAAGTGTGGAATGTAAAGTGTAGAGTGTAAAGTGTAGAGTGCGGAGTGTAAAGTGGGAAGTGTGGAGTGTAGAGTGTGGAGTGAGGAGTGTAAAATGTAAAGTGTAAAGTGTAGAGTGTGGAGTGTAAAGTGTGGAGTGTGGAGTGTAAAGTGTGGAGTGTAAAGTGTGGAGTGTAAAGTGTGGAGTCTGGAGTGAGAAGTGTGGTGTGTGTAGAGTGTAGAGTGTGGTGGAGTGTGGAGTGTGGAGTGTGGAGTGTGGAGTGTAGTGTGTGGAGTATGGAGTGAGGAGTGTGGAGTGTAAAGTGTGGAGTGTGCAGTGGGCAAAGTGTGGAGTGTAAAGTGTGGAGTGTAAAGTGTGGAGTGTGGAGTGAGGAGTGTAAAGTGTAGAGTTGGAGTGTAAAGTGTAAAGTGTAAAGTGTGGAGAGTGTAAAGTGTAGATTATAAAGTGTAGAGTGCAAAGTGTAAAGTGTGGAGTGTAAAGTGTGGAGTGTAAAGTGTAGAGTGTGGAGTGAAAAGCGTGGAGTGAGGAGTCTAAAGTGTAAATTGTGGAGCGTGGAGTGTAAAGTGTAGAGTGTGGAGTGTGGAGTGGAAAGTGAGGGGTGTGGAGTGTAAAGTGTAGAGTGAGGAGTGTGGAGTGTGGAATGTGGAGCGTAAAGTGTAGAGTGACAACCTGCTTGGAAACCTTCGAAAAGGAGAGGTTTTGCAGGTTCCCCCATAGACACAGCGAGGCAACAGGAAAACCAGAGACTCGAGACGAGACACGTGGGAGCATCAAAACGAGCATTTCGTGCGAGACTTCCTCCAATTTTCACACTTTGTAGCTTCAAAATCGACGTTTTCCTACGAGTTTTCGTAGGAACCTCTAAATTTTGCAACCTCAAAATCGATGTTTCGTGCGAGGCTTCCGTCAATTTTCAGCACATCTGACAAAATGCCACACCTGCCACGGAATCTGCACCTTGTCGCCACTTGACACAGCCCTGCCAATGCGATTTGCAACACGACACGTCTAAAGTGCTGCGCCTGCCATGAAAACTGCAGTGCATCTTCTGAAAACGTCGCAAAAGTATTGCGCCTGCCACACAAAACCATTTTCGACACGTTACAAAACACATCTGAATGTCACGAAGTGCCACGCCTGCCACGCAAAACGAAGCAACGAGAAGTTTGAAACCTACAAGAAGCACCCAGTCTGCAAAACTTACCATAGGCACGGCCATACGGCAATCGCGCGAACGGTTGCGAACGGTTGCGAACGTAAACGCGACGTCGAGCGAACACACCCTCAGCCCCCAGACCCCCAGAGTGAAACGGGAACCCTTGCTATGCATTCGGGAAAAATCAGATAGAATTCCTAATTTTCGTACCATTTTTCAAGATATCTTGCACCAGTTGAAAACGGTGGTTTATCCCATTATTCACAGGGTTTCAACCATCCGTTTGGTGGCGCAGGATTTTGCAACCATCCACAGTACGTTCTCTATAAATGTACATCACCTTTTGAGGGTTTCACAATTTTTTACTGGGTAAATCAACTATAAACGGCAATTTTCAATAGCTATGTTAGTTTACCAGAGGGTAAATCCCATTAAACCACCATTTTGTTGGTTAAACCCCATCAAAACCACCATTAAACCACCATTTTCCTATGGGGTGGTTGCGACCTGTAGGCCATCCGCGACCTGGAGATCTTCCTGGAGAAGGTGCGACAGATCCACGGCCACGACGGTCTGTGCGCCACAGCGGCGCTGCTCCACGAATCGGGGCATCCCACGTTTCGACACGTCGCACGGCTTGGAACGGCGCTTGGAGAAGCTACGGGGTAAACACCGGTGGTTTCTTCGGTGAAAGGTCGGAAAGGTTGGTTGATTTTTATTGATGAATTTAGTTTGTTTTGGATTGATGTGATGTGATTTGGGGTGGTGGATTTTGATCGACTTGTTCTGATTGGTTGCATTTATTCATTTCTTATTCAAGGTTGTGGATATTTATTGATTGTTTTTTTTGATTCCTCTTTTTTTAGGAGGTTGAATGCCCGCCCAGCCTGTGGCTGGTGTAACAGGTTTGCGACGATTGGAACATAACCCTCGTGACTATTGGAACGCACTAGGCACAGTTCTAGGCATGTTCAAGATCTCAGATCATGGGGATTCAACAAACCTTATGATAAAGATGAGTAGTCCTATGACTAGGATTGTAAGATTGGGATTGTAAGATTTAACAAACCTCAGAAACCTCAGTCCCAACTAGTCATTTATCATAGTCCCAATGATCATAGTAGTCCTATGTTTGTTGAGTCAATTTTTCAGTGCCTCTGGTAAACGTTTACATAACTATGTAAAATCACCATGCTATTAATGAGTAAATCCACTATAAATGGTTATTTTCAAGTTCGCAAACTGTTAGTTTACCAGGCCGGGTAGTTTCAGTGGATCATCATTCAATTTTTGAGGACATTTGGATTCACTGGGGATTCCTAGTCACCCTTCAGGGTCGGTGACCCGTAGGCCGTAAACGTCACCAGGATTTTCGATGGGAACCATTGGGAACCCCACTCTGACTGGACTTGGCCAAAAAGTGTACAGACTCTCCACTTTTTTCAGTGCATGGTTGCGAGTTATCCTGCACCAGGCAGGGAACTTTCTGAAAGGTACGTATGAAAGAAACTATTTGTTTATATGGATATACCCTATGGTTATTTGTTACATAGCCATGGAAAATCCATGATAAATGGAGGTTTATAGCTGGGAAAATCATCTATAAATGGGTCATCTATTCTTAGGGAACTGTGAAACATGGTAAATTTCATGGGATTAGAATGGGATTTGGCCCATCCACCCAACTGGTGCGGGATTTCGCAAACATTTCGCAACCATCCACCGTATCACCGTATCAAAATCCTTCACTTTCTCAGCGGGATGACATTTTATGGGGAATAAACATCCATGAATGAGCCAGTAACTAGGGTACCGTTTGGGTACCATGGTTTTGACCCATAATGTCAACCCCTGATTAATAAACCATGGTTTATTAAGTTTATTAATTAGGGGGGGTACTCCTCCAATAGTCATTTCATCTAATACTTAAATGGTACCCCCCCAATTAACCAGCC